TATCCCCTTGGTCTTCTTGACCAGCACCACATTCGCTAACCAGGTAGGGTAGTTCACCTCTCTGATGGATTTGGCGTGGAGGAGTTTACTGACCTCCTCGTTAATTGCCCTTTGGCGTTTTGGAGCAAAACTTCTCCGCTTCTGTTTAACAGGTTTGCAAATGGGATTCACGCTTAGCTTGTGTGTGATGACTAAAGGGTCAATGTCTTCCATGTCCTCTTGCTTTCAAGCGAACACCCCTATGTTCTTCCTCAGGAACTGGGTGAGTAGGTCTTTCATTTCTCTGCTCAACTTAGATCCCATGTAAACAATATGTTCAGGCTCTTCATCGAGCTGGACTGGCTCTAGCTCTTCTGATGGCATGGGTCTAGTGTCTAGCTCGTCCCTCATGTCAAGCTCATCTTGCTGGATATTTTCAATCTCTTTCTGTTTCACCGAGGCCATGTAGCACTCCTTGGCTATTCGCTGGTCTCCTCGAACCATTCTAACTCTATTTTTCGTAGGAAATTTTATGACCAAGTGATATGTTGAGGGGATAGCCTTCATTGCATTGAGGGATAGTCTCCCAAGTAGCATATTGTACGCAAAAGGGACGTCAACTACTAGGAATTTTACAGTGGTGGTGGCTTGACAAGGAGGGTCCCCCATAGTGAGCATGGGGTGGATAGATCCCAAGGGTAGCACCCTTTCCCCTGAGAATCCCATTAAGTGAGCACTTACTAGCTCAAGCTTTTCCCTTCCTATACCCATTTTGTTGAAGGCAGAGGCAAAAATGATGTCGGCCGAGCTACCATTGTCAATTAGAACTCGATAAACCGTTTGGTTAGCCACAATGACCCTTACCACCAACGAGTCATCATGGGGATGCTGACAACCTTCCAAGTCTGAATCCGAAAAAGTGATGGTTGTGCTCAGCCGAGATATTTTGGACACGGTGTGCACGTCCAGCGCTTCGCCAGCCCTGATCCTGCGCAGGTGTGCTTTCCTGGCTGCACTGGATTCTCCACCGCCAACAAATCCTTCAGATATCACTCTAATCTCCTCTAAGGGTTGTTGGTGTTGTGCAGGGGCTTATTGCTAAGGTGCCGATGGTGGTGGAGCCCTGTTCTGGTTGTCATGGATGACAAATCGTCGTAACTTCCCCATCTGGATCAAGAACTCAATCTCCTTCTTTAGCTGAATGCAATCGTCAGTGTGATGGCCATGATCCCTATGATACTCGTAATACTTCGTAGGGTCTCTTTTAGTTGGATCTGCCTTCATTCGTGGAGGCCACCTTAGGAATTTCTTGTTCTGCACCTCGTATAGGATCTGAGATACTGTTGCAGTGAGAGGAGTATATTGCTGAGGTGCATACCTCGACTGTAGTTTAGGCTGCGGGGGTCCTAAGCGGTCCTAACGTTCCCCCTTCTTTTTGGGGATCACTCTTTATCTCTTCTGGGAGATCTATCTCTCCTTGGAGATCTGTTTCTTTCCCTCTCTCTCCTGGGACTTCGATTCCTCTTTTTCTATTCCTTTCCTTTATCTCTATGTGCAAAAGAGCTCCCTACCTTAGAAAGAAGAGCTTCTTCGCCGTTTATATATTTCTCTGTTTTGGCAAGCACCTCGGCCATGCTTGCTTGGGGATTTTTTGATATGGAGAACATCAAATCTTTAGATTGCACCCCTAGACCAGCTATGAAGGCAGTGATGGCGAACTTTTCGTCTGGGACATCCACCTTTAACGACTTCAAATTAAATCTTTGGACATAAGACCTAAGATTTTCTTGAGGTCCCTGTTTCACATTCAAAAGATGATAGCTCGGCTTTCTGTAGGTCCGAGCCCCTATGAAGTGGGATACGAAGGAAATGGAAAGTTCTTTGAAGGAAGAAATTGAGGCCGGGGGGAGCCTGTTAAACCATGCCAAGGCTGAACCCTTCAAAGTGATGGCAAAGGCTCGACAACGTACGGGGTCCTGGTACCCGTGCAACTCCATCTGGTTCTTATAAGTATTGAGGTGGTCCATGGGGTCCCTGGTTCCATCAAAGGACTCTATCTCAGTCATCCTGAACTTTGGGGGAGGGGAAAATGCAACACCCCAGGCATGAATGGAGATTCAGTCTGCTACACCAAGGAGTCTATTGTAACTGGAGCTTTACTTTTGGCCGCTTGCTTCATGTGGCTGAGCTCCTGTTGGATTCCCTTGAAACGTTTCTTCCAATATTGTTCCCTTCTTTCCTGCTGATAAGGGAAGACATCATTTTTTTCACCTTCATGGTTTTGACTTTGTACTTCCTCATTGTGGTCATTCCTAGGGGGTAGTTGGGGAACCTGCCCCAAGGTCTAGTTGTTCTCTTCTCCTTCGTTGTCTTCTCTGAGTGGATCAAGGTGTTGTTGATCCTTGTGACGAGGACTGTTCTGACCTTCTTGGGCGGATGTGCCTCCTGTGGGCGCTGTAAGAACTTCAAGAGCTCTTCGTTTTGCTTTATCAAGCGTTGATTGACGAGGCGAATAGCCTCCATCTTGTTATTCATGAGGGGATTTCTTATGGGAGGATCAATTTTTGGGACGTTCTCGGGCTGTCTGCCATTGGTGACTCTCTGTTGGTCCTACATCCGAGGTGAGTTTGTTGGCTTCTGCTCATGTTTCGTGTTGATACCATAAGTCACTAAGAGATCAGCTTATTTGCAATAGGAACAATCGTTCCCACTAACGGCGGCAAACTGATGGTGCAAACTAACGTGGGTTAACAGAGCGCGTGGGACCAAAGATGAATCTAGGCTGCCAACTTCATAATGACAGAGATGAAGTGTTTCTTAAAGGGTAGGGGAATTTGCACAGTTAGAATATAGTGGTTTACCGGCTCTGGAGCTTGGCTAATCCACTCTCTAATGGAGACTTTTGCTCCTTTATTTTCTCTCTTGATTTCTCGAATGTATTACAATACAATGCATCATCTAATTATGATTTTTCTAAGGGGCCCCCCTCCTCTCGATGAGGCGTTACAAAGTATTTATAAGGCTACTCCATATTATCTGGGATTTCAGCCGAGATCTTTGCCAATTATTCATGAGATCCTCCTTGATTTTAGGAGATAATCTTAATTGGTTGAGAGTTTCATGCATTGGGCTCAATTTTCACAGTCATCCAACTGTTTCCTAGTTGGTTCTGTCACTATCTCCCCAAGGGGAGCTCTATCTCTGGTTCTCTGAGTTTCCCGCGTCTTTCCTGATCTATTGACCTGAGCTCACAGTTAGGGCTTGTTTGAGGTATCATCAGATTTCAACATTTTATGATCAATCATGCCCTTTGAAATTATAACTTACTCATCAAAAAAAATTATAACTTAAGATTAAAAAGTTGTAATTTTTGATACCGGTGGTACTGTAGAATTTCCCAGTTTGAAATGTCCAACACAGTTGGAGATGAGAATTTGAGATCAGAAAGGAAAACTCAATTCTATAGTAGCCAAAACTAAGCATCATGCATTACTCAAGTGAAACTGGAATGTGACACAGGGCAGTTTGCAAATGGTTACCTTTCCAATGCCAGCAGCAAGCCACCCATATTCACGCGTCAGCTTAGTAAAAATTGGAATGATATAAACCATATATATAATAAACAGTGTAGTCGTGTAGATCCGTTAAGCTGGGATATTACGGGCAATATATTTGATTGTTTAGAACATAAATAATCATCGATACAATTAGTATCCTATCCTGTAATTGACTGTTTTCAAATCTACACGTCTTTGTTCTAATATAACTCTATATAACTGATTACTCACAGAATAAAAAATAAAAGCCCATATAAGTGATTGTTTCCAAAGTAAAACAGGTTTCAAGAAAAAGCATTTCATTATCGGAAACTAATGATACTCTAAATATGTCTAAGATTGAGCTCGGGTCATCTAAACTCAAATCATTCAGCCCATCTCGATTGACCAAGGAACCTGAGGTTGGTGCCTCCCTCCAACAACTACACCTTCGTAGGTACAACACTAAAGACTGTTGGCTTCCACCCAAGTACTATACATAACGTAACGACAGTACATCTGGACAAAGAAGTCGTAACCGCTTTATCAATATCCATAACAGTCACGTGAAATGTGTAACCATTACGAGAAGAGGGCTAAGATCACAGTCAGGATCATGGAAGGCCTCTGAAGACTATAAATATGAGATATATCCCTCACAACAAATGACAAACAACTCTAGCCTAAATAAATAACCTTTGTAATCTTCCCCATAATCAGTAATATACTCAGGAGTAAGAGATTTCCTTCAGAGTGAATTAGTCAAGCTGCTGAGCTGATGAAGTACTATAAACTCTCTGTGTGCAATCCCCTTTGTTCAAACCCTTAAGAGCTTAATAGCGCTGATTGAGTTGTTCAGTGACCCTTTAGTCCTTAGCTGTCATTAGCTCTGCTCATTTGTCTGACATACATCAGAAATAAGAAAGAAACCACCATAGAGAGGAAACAGCTAGAAAATCCCCCTGTTAATTCAGAAAATTGATTCCTCTTTGCTTTGTGGGCAATTCAGTAGATATCAGATTAAGACATTCAACTACTCCTTTGTCCTCTGCAATGTGCAGCTGAATCAGAAATTAAAGATGACGACAAATGACAACTAAATTTCAGGCAGCGTGATGCTTCTATTACTTCAGTATAATTAATGAAGAGATTTTGTAAGGTTTCAATTTCTTAAATATACCTTAACCAAAAAAAAAAACCTACTACACAAGGCTGGAACTTTTTGATTGAATATTGGGTACCTGACTAGGATCAATTGTTGTTTTGTGACATACACATGCATGGCTCTTAGGCCAATGTCTAGTGTTCACAAGTCAACCATATTCTCACCTCATGTGGCATGTGGGTGTGTTTTTTTTTGGGGAGAGGTGGTCGTCATCTCATGTGGGTTTATTTCAGTCAAACTTTATGAAGGGTGGAGGATTTTGAGATTCTGTTCGGTATCAATAGTGAAAACACCTTGCACTGCAGGAAACTAGAAACTCCATGAACAGTCAAGAGAAGATGAAGACCCTAATGCAACAGAAGAAAGGCAGGCGATTGTTACTGTTTCCATTGCCATTACAAGGCCACATTACTCCTATGCTTCAGCTTGCAAACATCCTTCACTCCAAAGGCTTCAGTATCACCATAATTCACACTCACTTCAACTCTCCCAACCAATTCAACTATCCTCAGTTCACCTTCGAGCCTATCTCCGACGGCTTGTCAGAAAACGATGCTTCGACCATAGATGTCTTGGCTTTGATCTCTCTCCTCAATAGCAATTGTGTTGAGCCGTTTCGTGATTGCTTGGCTCGGTTGTTATCGGAGGTTGCAGAAGAGCCTTTTGCGTGCTTAATCACAGATGCCGTCTGGTACTTCACACAGGCAGTGGTTGATAGCCTTAAACTCCCAAGGATTGTCATACACACTACCAGCGTCTGCTCATTTCTTGCTTTTGCTGCCCTTCCACTTCTAAGGGAAAAGGGGTATCTGCCTAAGCAAGGTGTGATTTATGCCCCTCCCCCCCCCCCTCTCTCTCACACACACATGAACATGTCCTAGAAACGAAAATGTCTAACTAAAGCATCTCTCTTTCAAAAGGTTGCTTAGGATTTTTCTGCCTTGTTACTAAGTCCATTTCAAAAGGTTGCTTTGGTCAGTGTAGCATTACTCATCATAATATTTGTCTATTTTTTCCTTGTTTTTTGGTTGGCTCAGATTCCGAATTTGAAGCACCAGTGCTTGAGCTTCCACCTCTAAAAGTAAAAGACATTCCGATCATCAAGACGCGCAACCCGGAAGATGTATACAAGGTAACAGGTCGCATAATAAGAGAAACCAAGTCAGCTTCAGGGCTCATTTGGAACTCATTCAGAGAACTTGAACAACCTGAACTGGCAAAACTAGCCCAGGAATTTCCCATCCCAAGTTTCTCATTCGGACCATTTCACAAACACTTTCCGGCCTCCTCGAGTAGCTTACAAGAGCAAGACCAAAGCTCTATTTCCTGGCTAAACTCGCAAGCACCCAAGGCTGTAATCTATGTGAGCTTTGGGAGTGTTGCAACCATGGATGAAACTGGTTTTTCTGAAGTGGCTTGGGGATTAGCCAACAGCATGCAACCATTCTTATGGGTGGTTCGGCCTGGCTTAGTCAGTGGCTCAGAATGGCTCGAACCACTGCCAAATGGGTTCCTCGAGACAGTGGGTGGAAGAGGGCATATTGTGAAATGGTCTCCCCAACAAAAAGTGTTGGCTCATCCTGCCATTGGAGGTTTTTGGACTCACAGTGGGTGGAATCCGACACTAGAGAGCATTTGCGAAGGAGTTCCCATGATTTGTTCCCCAGATTTTGGTGATCAAATGGTGAATTCGAGATATGTAAACGATGTTTGGAAAGTTGGGTTGAAGTTGGAGAAAGGTCTTAAGAGAGGGGAGATAGAAAGGACAATTAGAAGAGTAATGGTGGAGAAAGAAGGAGAAGAGATCAGACAGAGAATGATGGGTCTAAAGGAGGAGGTAAATCTTTGTCTAAAGAAGGGTGGATCTTCATACCAGTCACTAGAGGGCCTCACTGATTACATCTTATCATTGTGACCTCTTAATTATGTGTCTTACTGCTCTTTCATTATTTGATTTAACAGCCAAAATGCCACATTGTGCTGAAATGCTTGTGCTAATAGTTTGGGCAGAGCAGCCATTATTAAGAAAAATTATGCAGTGAAGTCGTGGGCAACACCATTTTCATGTCAAATTCATTTGATTATTGCATTTGTCCATTTCATGAACGCAGACGAAAAATAAAAGTGTCCCCAAGGAGGAACATTTTCCAGGAATTTGGATCTGCCTGCTTGCTGTTTGCACGAATATTGATTAATCAAAAACCACTTATCTAAACTTATGCAATAATATTATTGCGATTTATTTATTGTATTGACAATGAATATTAACATTAAATATAGTCCAATTTCATTTCAATTACCACACTGAATTAACTCTTCAAATTAAGTATTTATATTAAATAAAAGTGACATTATTGGCCCTTCCTGTTTAACTCAACAAGAACCAAGCTCTATGAGATCGCTGCATGTGGTATTGAAGCCGAAACGACAAAGTCACAATGCACATTTGGTTCAATAGTACTTCTTGATTTATGAAAATTTTGTTTCAGTAGAAAGCAAATACACATATGCTCTTCATCGTATAGATACACACAATTAAATTATCATAAGTATTCAAATTAAAAATTAAATATTATGTTTCAGTCATAAAGGGAAGATTTCATATGTGGTTTATTTGTTTTATATTTTTTTATAAAAAAAATAGAAAAAGATCATTTTTGAACGTCCTTCAACTTTGCTGCAAGCTTTTTCACTTCTTCTTCTCCCTTCGCAACTTTTTTTTGAAGGACTTTGCCATTTTATTTCACTTGTCTTTTTCTTTGTTGGACATGTAGAGTTCAAATTGAGACGGTTGATATCAACTTGTATGCGATCTTGTTTTGCGTGGGCATCATCCAAAAAACCTTAAAGCATTTGTATGTTAGTTTTTGTTCTTTATTGTCTTAATTGTTATATTTTTTTTCCGGTGTTTTTGTTTTGAATTTTATATACGCTATTTATAAAGGTATTTTTCATGGGGTAGATGAAGAGGTTTAAATGTAGTTTATTATAGTGTTAATTTTGTAGTTAATCGAAGAGACATCTAATTTTAATATGTCTGTTGTAGAGATATACTGAATGCAATTGCTATTAATAAATATAACTTAATATATCTTCAAACTTCCAGTTAATAAGTACGTTAGTAAAAAACATGTCATTGTTTTTTAGTGTACTTATTTAACGATATGTGTTTTTAGCGACAAGGTATATTATAATAACGTAGTTTTTTAAAATATGTTTTATTTACGTGATGACATTGTTATTATTATTTACATTTTTAATGGGCTTTAGTTACGACAATTACATTGACTTTTCAACAAAGATGTAATTCCAAAAAAAAAAAATTGACGGGTGAATTGTTTTTTAAAATCTTATCGGGTCTAACGACCGGCCTCAACAAAAACTCTAAAAAAAATTAGATGAGAAAAGCGTGCAATAGAGTTTGAATAGTCAGATGGATCATCTAGGAATGGGGCAATGAGAAAGCAACTCACCTTTAAGAGCTAACTTATTAAACTTACAATTGGGAAAGCAACATTAAGACAAAAACAACAAAACAACCCATACTTCAACAAATAAAAGGTCATCCACTCCCCATCCCCACCACTTGTTTGTTAGATTGTAGGAACTTGAAAAAGTGGATTAGTGATGGAACAAATGGAACTGGCTGAGTCACAGCTCCAGAAAGGGCATGACCGACTTTCGTGGTACTAACATTAGAAACATAAACGTCGATCGACTTCACTTTACCACTGAAATGATACAAGAATAACTGAAACACCTCTAATTTGCTCTCAGATCTTAGCTATGAGTTGCTCCTCCACCATTCATCAATCGTATATCCTCAATCAGACGGTCCAAGTTACAGGATGAGGACCCACCTTCACTCACAGCCCTTTTCGCCAACTTTGACATTTCATCTGCTGATTTCTTGAACTCATCCCTCCTCACCTCCATCAGATCATTGATCATCGTCTCAACTATGACTCTGTCACAAGTGTCTTTCATGTCCACCCCAAGATTCCAAACCTCCCCCACAAACCTACTATTCACCTGCTGGTCAGCAAAGTATGGCCAGCAGATCATTGGCACACCCGCCAATATGCTTTCCAAAGTAGAGTTCCAACCAGTATGAGTCAAGAAACCACCAATGGATGGGTGGGCCAGAACTTCCTCTTGTGGGGCCCAACCCACCATGTACCCCCTTTCCTTCGTACCCTCCTCCAGCTCAGCCGGAATATGATGTTCTCCATCTTTTCCGGCAACGGAGTCCGGCCGCATGACCCACAAGAATCGCTTCCCACTATTCACCAAACCGTGCCAGAACTCCAAGAGCTGGTCTCTTGTCACCACCGCTATGCTTCCGAAGCTCACATAGAGCACAGATTTCATGGGCTGCTCGTCAAGCCACCTAATGCAGCTCCTATCTTCCTCCCACAAACTGTTCGAAGAGGTCGAGGAGGAAGTTGTTTTTCTGGCGAGGCTGGTCTTCAGTTGACCATGGAGTGGCCCGATGGTGTAGAGTTTTGGACAAACAGAACGGATGTGAGAGAGAATTGATCCTTCAAGGTCTTCAAATGTGTTGAGTATGAGAGCTTGGGCTCGAGGGGTTCGCCTGGTTTCAGTAAGAACTATCTTGAAGTCATCGGATTCCAAGTTGCTGACGCGGCAAAAGCTCGGTAGATCACGTCGCCGGAGAAACCCTTCCATGCCCTTCACATTCGCTATTCCTTCATCCATATTGTCTCCTACAATTTGTTTACAGTAAAAGTAGGTACATTCTCCGAGAATCAAATACTCAACATATAAAGTGCTTGCGCAAATGCCTCAATTAATGTGTCAACACAAAAAAAAAAAAAAAAATTATTCTAGACATCGGAGGATTAGAAAGCAAAGTAGCAAACTAATAGACAACCCACCATTGAAAGGAAGCTCGCCGGCGTCAATGAGTTCGGGGATGCAAAAATAAGCCCAAAACGAGCAAGCGCTCACCGTACGGAAAAATATAACCGGAATACCAGTCTTTTCACCAACTTCAATTGCTAGACTCAGAATACCATCGGCTATAATGCACGTCACTGGCCGGCGGGCGTCGCTACTCAGACGATCTGAAACTATCAAGTCTATGAGAAATGGTTTCGCTATGGCTTTCAGAGATTCATACATCTGTATTATCCCATCAGGGTTGTGTAAACTTCCTTCATAAAGGCCGTCTGGAAGGGTTTGGAAACTGAATCCGGGATAGTGATTGAACCGGGGTTGGACATTGGTGTGAGTTAGGAGGCGGCCATGGATAGAAGCAGATACAAGGTAAGTGACATGGATGCCAGAAAGGCAGAGAAGCTCAGCGAGCTTGAGCATGGAGTTTACGTGGCCCTGTAGTGGAAAGGGGAAGATGATAACGTGAGGTTGATCCATCAGTGAAGTGTTTCAATCGAGAGTTGAATTGTTGATTTCAGCCTTCAGCTCAACCTAGCCTTGGTGTCCTACTTATAAATCTAGGACTTCTAGGGAACAAAGGAATTAGATGTTGATCCAAATTTTAAGAGCAATGTTGATGGGATCTAATTTATTATTAGTATAATTTGTTGACCTAATTTGTTGTGATATTTAAATTCACAGTAGATTTTACAAATCATTAGAACTCGGTGTTGATCCAATAATTCTTATAAAGTCATATTATTATGTCAATAAATTATGTCAAATTTTTAATTCTAAATAGTATTAATCAAATTTTAATGGGTAAATTACATTTGGACGTCTATGTTTGTGGCTTAATCACATAAATTACTTGATATTAAAAATATTATACATGAATCTTTTAAAGTTTGTATGCATGTTACACTTAAATCTCTATCGTCAATATTCACTAATATATCCGTTAGAATTTTATGATGTTGATTCTCATGGGTAAATTACACTTGAATTTTTAAAAATTTGTTATTTTTTTTTTTGGAGGGGAGAGGGAAGAGACTTAAACCCTTGACATAAAAAAGACAAAATTTTCACAAGGTAAAGAATACTATTTTTTTTTTTAGGAGGGGGATAGAGTATTATTGCACCAAAGACTTATTACATAGATCCCGTCAGGAGAGTTGTGACTATATATATCTCTAGCTTAATTAAAATTTGTTACTTAATTACATAGATCCCGTCAAATTTAAAATATTACATTTAGATCCAATTTGTGTATGTAATTAAGTAATAAACTTCAAAAGATCTAATTGAAGGTCTCTAATTTTTCTGGAAATAAATCACCAGAGGCTTTCACCCCTTCTAACTAAGTTCATTTCCAATTATATTTTTTCTTTGTTAATGGTGCATGAATCATAAAATCATAGTTTTTAGAACCGAGCCAAATGTTGAACCGTCAAAGAGATTGGATCAATAATTTGTTGATTCAACTGTTAAGTCAATTGATCGGACTAATTATATAATAAAAAAATATGTTCAAAGGGGGCGTTTGGATAGTAGGATAAAGGTGGTTATCCACCAATAAGATGGAATAAAATAGGAGTGGGACCCATAAAACCTTTGTTTGATTGAGAAGTCATTTTTGAGGTAGGATACCAATCTCGGGTCAAAACTTGACCCAATTGCTACAGTTCCATTTAACCCCCATATGGCGATCACACATAACCCAACCCCCTCATGGGTTACAAACCCAGGCACTGGGTTACCCCACAGGTAGACGTATTTGCCCCTCTCTTTCTCCATCCACTCACAGCCAACGACGAATCCCTCTCTCTTTGTGTGTGTGTTCTGTCGTTACCCGTGACTTCAAATTGCACCACCATGACCACCATCAGACCCATCATCGCAACATAAAACCCATCACTAAATCGTGATGTCTACAACCAGAGACATCACCTATACAATCAGTGGCATATCCATGGTGATGATGATAAATATGTAGCAAGGAGAGCGAGATAGAGAGAGAAAGATGGGAGTTGAGGTGGAGGTGGTGGTAGTGGAAGAGATGGGACAGTGAGTTCTGGTGGCGGTGGTGGTGGGATGTATAGGGGAGGTGCAGACCATCACGGGCAGATGAATGGTTCTGGCTTCTTCTGGGTTTGAGGGATTTAATTAGGAAGAATTACACTTAAATTCTCTGAATTTTGTCATTTAATTATTCAAACCCCTAATATTTAAAATATTACACACAAATTCTCTTAAGTTTATACGCGCGTAACTCTTAGACTCCTCAAGATAAATATATTCATTAATAAATTACACTTAAACTCTTTTGAAGTTTGTAGTAAGTATATAATACTCAGACCTCTTAAATTTAAAATATTATACTTAGATCAAAAATACTTCAATCAAAGATAGAATATCAAATATTATTTTACAATCAAAATTTATATTCTATTTTATTATTTATTGAAATAAAATTAAAAATTAAAAATTAATTTTTTCTTAAAAAATCGTAAGTAATATATAATTATACTATCTATTGAAATAAAATTAAAAAAATAAACAAGAGGTCTAAATCATGTATAATTTTTATATATTTTTAAGTATATTTGAAAAATGTATAATTTTATTAGGATAATCCACATGTCCAAACATATTATGGCAAGGTTGTTTGCCTTTCTCCAAATGTAATCAATTTTTAAGAAATGAATTAAAGTGTTGATTTGTTTGGAAAAAAAATGCCAAATATATATATATATATATATATATATATATATATATATATATAACTTTCTTTATTTTTATATGTTTTTATGTATATGTGAAAAATGTATAATTTTATTAGGCTTGGATGGGTTAACTAAACATATGATAGAATTGATTTAGATTGGAATGGATAGATTCATGGGTAGAATGATAAAGTACTATAAAATTATTTGTGTAATCTATGGGGTCCACTGAATTATACATTTATTTCTCAAACAAAGGTTATGATTGAATATAATCTTGGGTTAGGATTTTAAAATGGATGAGTGAGTTTGACTTGGATTGGTTATGATATAAACAAAGAAAATCCACCTATCCCATCCCATTAACCAAACACACCCAAAATGCATATAATTTTTCATAAAATTAATAAAGTTAAATTACAAAAAAGCAATATATGTCAAAAAAATTTCCACTAAATACATGTGTCGAAGTTGATGACCCATTTGGCATAAAAAGGCATATTTCAAATAAGGGTAAATGACACCGGTGGTCCTTTAAGTTTGACACGTATTACACTTTTCTCCTCCATGTTGTAACATTGGCTGACTCAAGAGCTAGACAATCTTAAGGTTTGGTTTACGGTACAATCGACCGATCCGGTCTAATTCTAATAATACTACATACCACCTTAACTTATTTTATTTATTATTTAGAAGTAAAATTAGGTAAAAATAACTTTTTTACCACATTGCTTGAGACAGAGGGGTAACGAAATGTATTTCGTGTAGTAGATGATTTTTTTATTTTTAGAGTAATCTACAAATACTACGATTCCAATTAATTTAGTGCAAGTTGTAATGCACATAAAATAATTCTATACAGACAAGATGCGTTTGGTGACATTGTTAGGTTCAATGTCTCGGACTGTACAAATAAGTTTTGCTTTTACATATACAGAGGGAACAAAATTATATAAGGGAAGCTAGTAGGGTGATTGGAAATAGGCTTAAAGATATCATATTTTGAAATTAAGTTCGATTCTGGTAAGAGTTGTGATTTATCTTATGCACTTGGTATTTGAATAGTTAAGCGCATATTCGTATTAATCACGAGTCTAAAATGATGGTGATTGGTGGGTGATTCTTCTTCATTATTTGTAGCTAAATTATTGTCATTCGATTACGATATATAGAATAAGTGATAAGGATGTGGTGCTAGTTGATCCACACAATGAAGTCATAGATAAAATATAGTTACACGTGAGAAATATTACACGGATCTAATTTGAAAATATAGTCAATAACGAAATCTGTAGTAATTATTGAATGATTACAAGTGATTAGATCTATAGATATAAAAAGAAAAAGGAAAAAAAAAAGGTGTACCAGAGATGAATTATGTAAAATTAAAGTTAAAAGATATAGTAAAACTTCCAGATTAATCAGTCAGTCCAAAATATGGATGATACATGGAATATAATAGTTATATCACGTTAGTATTAATTGTTAAATTTATAATATAAAATAAAATAAATTTTAATAAATTCATTCAACCGTCTTAGCTTATCAACGATTATAAACCTTCCTTTCAAAATTATTGCATTACAGGTGTCTTCAACCAATAGTAATCTCTAATATTAAATAAACAAGCCAAACATATCACGTATGCACCAGAAGCAACAAACTTTTTCTGTGGAGTGCAAAACCGGTCAAATAGTCAATAAAGACACAATAATTGTACACATGACACACACATTTGTACTACTTGTGTAATACGACAGCTAAGTCCTACCCTTTCGCCATGAATTAAAAGAAAGATAATGCTATATTTAATAATTATAATTATTAATTCTATTATAAATTTTATCATTTATTAAAACTCATTATCTATTTATTTATGATCTTATCTTAACAAATGTTATCAAAATTCAAATTCAAAACATTTAAAATTAATAATTCGTACATATTACCACTTAAACTACACGCTAGAATTACTTTGCAAGATGTCATCGAAGCCAAATACGAGTTATTTTTCCTGGTAAAAAATTATGAGGTCAATCTTCCATTAGAATTAGCATAAAAAATCAACATTATAGTGCTCATCGAAAAATTCATTAAATTATTTGTATCAGATTAGTATGAATGATTGGATATTGGGTCCAACTAAATTTCTTTATTATCCCAAATTTGATACAAATTTTGGTAAACACAATATTATAAGAAATTAATCATGGGTGGTCCCACTCATCAATCTTATATCCTCAATCAGACGGTTCAAATTACTGTATGATAATCCACCTTCACTAACACTTTCTTTTGCCAATTTGGCCATCTGATTCGCCTTTTCCAAAAATTCCTCTTTCCTCACCTCCATCAGATCTTTCACCGCCTTCTCAACTATGGCTCTGTCACAGGTGTCCTTTATGTCCAATCCTAGCTTCCACACCCTCCCCCACATACCTACTGTTCACCTGCTGATCAGCAAAGTACGGCCAACATATCATCGGAATCCGGCAGCTATGCTCTCCAACGTAGAGTTCCATCCACTGTGTGTCAAGAACCCACCAACTGCTGGGTGCCCCAACACCTCTTCTTGAGGAGCCCAACCTACTATATAACCTCTCTCTCTCGTACCCTCAGAGATTTCCTTCGGAATCTGACTCTCCCAATCTTTTCCTGCGACTGAATCCGGCCTAATCACCCCAGAGGAATCGTTTCCCACTATTCACCAGACCGTGCCAAAACTCCATGAGCTGGTCTCTCGTCATCATTGTAAGACTTCCAAAGCTTACGTATATCACAGATTTGGATTGTTGTCGTCAAGCCA